AAACAGCATGAGAGAGGAGAGGGTCAGAGGGAGAAGCAGGCTCCCCACTGAGCCGGGAGCCCGATGCGGGACTCGATCCCAGGACCCTGGGATCATGACCTGAGCTGAAGGCAGTCGCTTAACCAACTGAGCCACCCAGGCACCCGCATGCCAAATTCTTAACCAACTGAGCCACCCAGGCGCCCATGCATGCCAAATTCTTAAAACAATGCAATAAAACCAGAAATGATAACAAACTATAAAATAAATTTAAAAGTACTCTCTGCAATAAATCCTTGGTTAGGGATTAACTCAGAGCCTCAATAACTCAGAGCCTGAATCATAGTGTGTTTGGAAACGAACTTGGTTGTGTGAAAGCAGGAAGGAGAGCCCAGAAAGTTGGACATTGCAGTTAGGGCCATGCAGCAGCGGGCCTGGGGCTTCCAGATGCTGAGTGACTGGGCCAGGGAGGAAGACCTAGCAAGCACACAGGATGCAGGTGGACGGCCTTCAAGGGGAGCAAGAACACAGGTGTTGGAGCCCTGTAGACCCAGATTGGAGTCCTGCTGCTAACTCTGGTTGGCTAGGGCAAATATCTCGACGTCTCCCATTTCTAGGTTTTAGCCTGCTTATTCAGAACTAGGGATGTTGAGCTGTATTTGTGGTTCTCAACCCTCCCTGGGTATCATAATCACCTGTGAGGTTATTTAATAATACTGAGACCTAGGCTCTAGACGCAGAGATTTTGATTTGGTTGATTCAGTTGGTGGGACCAAGGCATCATATTTTTTTTTCAAAGATTTTATTCATTTATTTGACAGAGAGAGACACAGCGAGAGAGGGAACACAAGCAGGGGGAGTGGAGGAGGGAGAAGCAGGCCTCCCGCTGAGCAGGGAGCCCGATGCAGGGCTCGATCCCAGGACCCTGGGATCCTGACCCGAGCTGAAGGCAGACGCTTAACGGACTGAGCCACCCAGGCGCCCCCAAGGCATTGTTTTTTTTTTGTTTTTTTTTTTTTTGCATCTCCCCAAGTGATTCCACCGTGCAGCCAGGGTAGACAACCCCAGAGCTAGATGACTTCTCAGGTTCCTCCTAGGCACCTGCAGCCTTTGCCCAAAGAAGAAAGTTTTAGGAGGCTAAAGTCAGAGGCATGGTAATGCAGAGCAATCTAATCAGAGTGAGCATTATCTCAAATGGGGCAGAAAATGCTGGTGCCAGTTAACATTTTGCACCCAACGTGATTTAGACCGGGGGCATAGATTGTACTCCAAACCCATTGTAAACACAATGGGCCATTTATTCACTGAACAGTAACCACTGTAATTACCTACAGGGCAAACATATGAGGTTGCTCAAGCAACAATTAATTGTGGACCTGGAGCTGATGGGACAATAGTGATAAAGTATCAACCAGAGTGTGATTCAGAAATCACATCAGAAAACCAATATTTCCCAAACTGTGTTAGATAAGCATTTGGGGGGATATGATGGCACATACCATCCCAGGTCCTGAAAGAGTTACTCCCTGGTTTTTCTAATAGCTCCCTCTTAACACTGGCGTCCATAGGAGGCTTGAAGTCTTGTTTTAATTTTGAGAGAAGAGTCACAGACACTATATTCAAGGGGACTGTAGAGAGCATCTATTTCTTGTCCTCATTCTGGGACCCCAATATCACTTGCAGGCAGGGGTGCTGACCTTGTTCCGGTTATAGGACCCTCTTGATGAACCTGATGGAAACTGTGGATCCTCTTTTCAGAAAAATGGGCGTGCCTATATGCACATACCTTCACACAACTTTTTCATGTAATTTTTGAGGAGCTTACAGACACCTTGGAGCTCCTCTGTATTCTCACTAGGTCATGGTCCAGCCTCCTTTTGCATACCTCCAGACGCAGGGATCTCACTACTTGTGTTGCTGGCCAACTCTGAATGCCAGCGTTCTTCAGTGTGTCCAGCAGAGATTTGCCTCTCTGTGTGTTCTTCTTCCCATTGGTCCTTCTTCTAGTCAGAATTTTTCTAAACAGTCATCCTACCCTTGACCTTTAGCAGGCTTGGGATGATGTCCCTCTCTCTATGAGGATCTTAGAAGCTGGTCCCTACAGGTACTCTCTAGCTTCAAGGGACACTGATGGGATATTTTGTGTTCATTTCCAACAGATGGGATGAGGTGAGGTTGCTGATTGGACACAAGAGATGCAGGGATCCTACGTAGTGGTTGTCTACCCTCTGAGCCAGACCAGGAAGAGGGACAAGATCTCTGTTGCCTCACTCTGTGGAAGTCTTAGGGAGGAAAAGAAGGAGCGCTTCCTCAGGTGACAAGAGAGGCAGTCAAAAGTATCTTCAGCTGGAGCCTGAGGGCACCTGGATATTCGTTCTCTGGGTCCTGAAATTGGGCTCTGGGATGTATTAGGTCTAGAGCTGCTGCTGGGACCACATGGGCTCCCGGAGAAAGCCAGTGGCGACAGAGTGAGCTTGCTTCCACTGTGCCCTCTCTGGACCAAGGGTTTACGTGAAACAAAAGAAGGAAAGAAAAAGAAGGAGGGAGGAAGGTTGGGAGGAAGGAAGAGAGGAACAGAGGGAAGGAGGGAGGGGGGATGACTGACTGAAAGAAACCATGCAGGAATTATTTAATAGTCTCAGAGGGGGAAAGGCCTTTCTAAATATGACACAAAACCCAAGGACATAAAAGGGAAAAAATTGATAAATTCAACCACATTAAAAAAAAAGGTTGGGCGCCTGGGTGGCTCAGTTGGTTAAGCGACTGCCTTTGGCTCAGGTCATGATCCTGGAGTCCCTGGATGGAGTCCCGCATCGGGCTCCCTGCTCGGCAGGGAGTCTGCTTCTCCCTCTGACCCTCCCCCTTCTCATGTGCTCTCTCTCATTCTCTCTCTCTCAAATAAATAAATAAAATCTTAAAAAAAAAAAAAAAGGTCTCGGGGCGCCTGGGTGGCTCAGTCGGTTAGGCAGTTGCCTTCAGCTCAGGTCATGATCCTGGGGTCTTGGGATCGAGCCCCACGTCCGGCTCCCTGCTCAGCAGAGAGCCTGCTTCTCCCTCTCCCTCTGCCTGCCACTCTGCCTACTTGTGCTCTCTTTCTATCTCTCTGTCAAATAAATAAATAAAATCTTTAAAAAAAAAAAAAGGTCTCTATGGCAGAAGACACTATAAGAAAAATGAAAAGAAAAACTACAAACTGGGGGAAATTAGCAACTTCTATTGCAAAGGTCTAGTTTCGTTAATATAAAAGATCACTTCTACCAACTGATAAGAAAAAGACTAAGAGTCATATTGGAAAACAGGTAAAGGATGTGAACGGTTTCCAAAACAAACTGCAAATTGCTCTTGAGCATAGGAAGTTGTACTCAATCTTGCTTATAGTAAGGTAAATGCAAATTAGAAGTGCAGTAAGATATCATGTTTTCACCAGCACACAGCAAAGATCAAAAATTGTGATAAAGCATCTTCTGTGGGTGAGGCCGGGGGACAGGGAGAGCAGAGATCAGAGGAAATGCTACAGAGGAGGTGACATTTAAGCTGGGCCTTGGAGGACAGATAATTAAAACCCAATTTAGCAACTTACTGGCACTTAAAAGAAAGAAAAGAAATAATGAAGGGGAAAATAGACAGATTTGACTACTGAGTGTAAATTAAAACACACACACACACACACACAATGTAAAAGCAAACAAACTGGAATATTTGCAGTAACTGCAATAGTCTGACTTTGGATGCTGTACTTATAAAGTCTTCATTAGGCTCAGTAAGAAAAGCATTAGAATACCACTCAAAAATAAACAAAGGACATGACAAAGCAACCCCTAAAATAGAACATACTACTAGTTAACGATCCCATGGAAATAAGCTCAACATTATGCATAACCCATGAATGCAATATGATTCATTTTTTTAGTGATAAACCATTATAAGATTATATAGAAAAATGTTTTATTTCTCTCTGTTGGTAACTAGTGAAATTGGCCCTCTAATTATACCTGGCTAGTGGGGGTGTAAATTGACATAATTTTGGGGGGAAATAAGTATTAAATCTTTAAAAGCTCATCTCCTTTGTGTGGGAAATTTTATATCATGAGCTCTATCCTACAGAAATAGCCTAAAATGTGGAAAAAAGATGCTCTGCACAAAGATGCTTGTAGAATAACATGACAATAATGACAAATTGCAAACAGTCTAAATGCCCCCAAATTAGAGATGATTCAGTAAATTATGGTATGTTCATATGCTGGAGTATTATGCAGCTATTAAAATGTTTGCAAGGAGTTTCTTTTTAACAAGAGGGTTTCAAGGCTTGTGGGATCATATTAAGGGGGGGGGGTTTAATTGTGTACATAGAATGATCTCAAGAATCTCTTTTTAAAAAAATTACTGTGCATGGAGAAAGGACCAGAAGGAAATAAACTACATTAATGGTGGTTCATTGGCGAGGAGTAAATTACTGGTCCACGTTTTTCCTTCTTTCTCCTTCTTTTGCATTTTTTAAAACCTCTTCAATTATAATGTATCACTTTCACAACAAAAGGGCTTAAAAAATGTCTTGCCCGGGGTGCCTGGGTGACTCAGTTGGTTAAGCGACTGCCTTCGGCTCAGGTCATGATCCCAGGGTCCTGGGATTGAGCCCCACATCGGGCTCCTTGCTCAGTTGGGAGCCTGCTTCTCCCTCTGCCTGCTGCTCCCCCTGCTTGTGCTCTCTCTCTGGCAGAGAGAGAGAGACAGCGAGAGAGGGAACACAAGCAGGGGGAGTGGGAGAGGGAGAAGCAGGCTTCCTGCCAAGCAGGGAGCCCGATGTGGGACTCGATCCCAGGACCCTGGGATCATGACCTGAGCCGAAGGCAGACGCTTAATGACTGAGCCACCCAGGCACCCCTAAAAATAAAATCTTTAAAAAAATGTCTTGGCCCATGTGTTTGCACCCCACGTCAGGCTTAGGGGCTCTGTTCCAAAGGCTCTGGGCGCACAGCTGTGAAGCGCACCAATGAAGGTGATGTCTCTTTTGTGTTTTCCAGCTTTCCTTTGCTGCGACCACGCCCGTCCTAGCCGATAAGAAAAAATACCCTTATTTCTTTCGGACTGTCCCGTCAGATAATGCGGTGAATCCAGCCATCCTGAAGTTGCTCAAGCATTACCAATGGAAGCGAGTGGGCACGCTGACCCAAGACGTGCAGAGGTTCTCTGAGGTATGTGTGCCGAGAGGGCGCGTCCACACCTGCCTGTCAGCTGTTGTCTCCTGCCAGGAGGCAGTATGGCTTCATCGGGACGGGTAACGTTGCAGGACCTTTAAGCACGCTTTTAGGAGCAGGCTCAGAGCTGAAACACCATGGACAAGATAGAGCTGGTGGCTGAGGAATTTGGGCACAGGACAGGTGAACACATGCATCCCAGATAGCTCAGGAGCGAAACCTTCCCTCTGTCGTGCCTCTCGGCTAAATCCTGTGGCTCATTCCCTGACTGCCCCTGTAGGTTTGCTGTCCTCGTTACGGATGCCGAGTGACCACCTAAAATCACGATGTGCCACCCAAAGCGTCTCTACTGTGAGGGGAGTTTGGGGAGGGGCTGGCTTGGAACGAAGGCTCACCCTGGATTGGTGGGTTTGTTTGGGGTTTTATTTGGTGGTTTATTTTAATGGTTTACACGCATACATCATACGTGGTGTTTCAGGGTTATGTTTTGTTTTTGCCAAAAAAGAAAAAAAAGTTGAATATAGATAGTAAAAAAATAAAAGCATTGTTTTGCTCGATCCCCCTAAAACCCGCTTTCTCGCCCAAGTGAACCCCTGATTTCAGTTTACTGTTCATCTGCCCAGAACTTTTTCTGCATATTCGTTTAAACCCAAATGACTTCATACTATATATGTTGGTTTTCTCACTTTACTATGGATCTTAGAGATCTTGATAGACCACATTCCTATTAGTGGGTCATGGTATTCTGTCAGATGGATAGGTGGTAATTTCCTGAAAGTATACAGCTTTTTGATACCATAGCACCTTCCTGCCTCGGTGTGCATCTTCTCAGTAGATTTCTAGAAGTGAAATTATTGGGTCATTTAAAATATTGCAACAAACTGAGTCCTAGGCTGTTCTGAGTCCTAGTCCCACCAACAGTGTTTGAAAATCCTCATTTCCACACTTCTTTACTAACAGTGGATATTAGCAATGTTTAAAAAGTTTTCCCTACTTGGATGAGTGCAAAATGATCTCTTGCCTTTTTCCCCCATTCTCCCTGGAGCTCCTACTTTCCTTTTTTCTCCCACGTGTGTTCTGGCTACTCAGAGCATCCCAGCAAGGCAGGCCATTCCATATGTGCTCAGCAACCCAAGAGAAAATACCGTGAGCCGCATGGGGAGACAGTGTGGGAGTCGGGTGTCCAGGCGGACCTCAGTGGGAGGAGTCTCAGAGGACTCACCCCTTGTGCAGCAGGTGGGGCGTGTGTCCAGGCAGGTGGGTGGGGAGTCACCACACCTCTTCCCGCTGCAGCTCCACACTTATCTCCGAGGCTCTGCCCCACCTCTCCCGTGGGAAGGAGAGCCCACTCCATGCATTGGCTGTTCGCCCTTGGAGAAGTCACATCACTTCTCTGAGCTGTGGTTTCCTCCCCTGTAAAATGGGAACCGTGGCCCTTCCCATGCCGTCCCTGCAGTTCTTGCCGAAATCAGTCACGGATTTGAGAGAGCTTTGTAAACTGTAAAGTTCATGCACAGAGAGGGATGTTTAGGAGGTGCTTGAGAAGCATAAGTGTTTGGCCCCACGGTCTGTGGCTGTCCAAACAAGGCAGGCTTTTCGCAGGCAAGGCTGGGCCTCGTCTTCCCACCTCTCTTTCTCAGTCCCTAGGGAGAGGCATAAAGCAGACGGGACCTGCAGTGGCTGTGACTCATTGCCGAACCCCGCAGCGGCTTTGGCGGGAAGACGGTCTTCTTTACAGCAGTGACCAATACTCTTAAATGAGCGTCAGACAGGTTGATGGGGAGGGTGGGGATGCGCAGTCCTGTGGCCCCATTGACACCAGACTCGGCAGCAATTTGGAGAGATCTGCTTGGGCCGTTAGGGACACCTCCCCCAACCTCCCCCTTGTATAGAAGTGAAAACCAAGGGCCAGAGAGGGGAAGGGACAGAGTTCTGGGTTTCCTAGCACCTCTGAAGTCGTGAAAGATTGTTCACAGAAAAGTCGGGACTGAATCTCGGGATCCCGACTCCCAGTGCAGGTTTCCCCTTGCTCCTTCTGTGCATCTAGAACGTCTTGTTGTCACATGGGAAGTGCTTGTAACTTTGGAGGTTTGAAATACCCCAAAGCCTTGGTTTAAAGAAGATAAATTGTTTGTCCAGTCTTGGTTGATGTTTTATAGATTCCCAGACACTCTCACAGCCAGCAGCCCTGTAGGGAGGGGTTCTGCTCGCATTTTACAGATGAGGAAACTGCAGTTTGCAGAGGACGATGGGCCTCCTCCTCTAGGACACATGCCGATAAAGGGCCTGCTGCCCGCCTGACCCTCCACTGCTTTCTCTGTTAGGCTGTCCTCACTGGGGTCGAGTATCGACGGTCTGGGACCGTATCTCCACCCCTACACGGCTGTGTTAGGGCCCTCAGCTGCGGTTTTAGGGCATCTCAGCAGGAAACCTTTTCTCTGAGGACAGGATGTTGCTTGGTGGTGTTGCTGGCAAGAACCCCTCTTGATTTAAATCTCACAGCCCAGCTGACGACTCTGTGTGCCCAAGGGTTTTGGCACCCCTCTCCCAATGTCTGGGCTGCATTGCTGGCCTGCAGGCTCTGGAAGCTGGCCAGGGGCTAACAGCTTTTCATGAGTGCGAGGGAAACTGGATTCCTTTTATGAAATTGGTCGATCAGCAGCGTCATGCACTTCTGTTCTGAACTGGTGCACTGGAAGGATCATCAAATGAAAGCAATCCTAAAGTTGGAGGGGGATGGGGGGAAGAAGCTTAATCCCAGAAGCTTATTACATTGGGACTGAAAGGGGTGCAGGGCTGAGAGCCATCCCACCTCGGGGCCGGCTGATCCTGTGTATAGAGAGCCATCCCACCTAGTGTATGGTGCCCAGAGGCTGCCTGGGACTTGGATCAGATGAGCCGGTGTCCAGATCTCACTTTGCCAAGCAAAGGCTGTGTGGGCCCAGACAATTTCCTTCATCTTGTTGACTTGGATGTATAAGAGCTGGAGACAAACAAGGGTCCCTAGTGAACACCAGCAGCTGAAAAGGTAGAACTTGCTTCAGCCCTGCCCTCTCTGGAGCCAAGATTTAAATGAGTTGAGAAAGAGGGAAGCACTTGGTATCAAGCAGGCTGATCTCTAGGCCCAGCTCTGCCAGGCAAGGACTGTGTGGTCACAAGCAATACACTTCAGCTCAGTGAGCTCTAGTCCCCTTTGTGTAAAACGGAGATATTTATCCCAACCTCGCAGGGACGCGGAGATGAGAGAGTTAGAATGAGAAAACGAAAGACCTCTGCATAGTAAGTGCTCATTAAATGGACATCCTCCATTCCACTGATTCCTGGGACAAACTCTAGGAATGCGTATCCCTTCACTCAAAGAATAATAATGTGGTCTCCGGTGTGCTAGGGTGTGTGATGGGCACGGGCCCTGTGCTGCGGGGGGCCAGGGAGGAATGGACGTGGCCTCGGGCTCAGTGGGTGTCAGGCCTCCTTCGCTGGGTTCTCTACTCTGGCTGCTCAGTGGACTCACCGGGGAATTTTTTTTTTAGTATGTTAGGTTCCCCCTCTGCCCCCACTTTTAACAGCTTTACTGGGATATAATTTGTATACCGTGCAGTTCACCCATTGTTAGCGTACAAGTTCAGTTATTTTCAGTAAATTGATATGGTTATGCAGCCATCACCAAAGCCCAGTGTTAGAACCCGCCCGTCACGCCACAGATTCCTTTGTGCTCACTCGTAGTCAGGCCCACCCCCGGCCCCAGGGGCGTTTACTTGCTCCCTACTTTTGCCTGCTTTGGAAATTTCATATACGTAGAATTATATAACATGTACTTTTCTGTGTCTCGCTTCTTTCATTTCGCATAATGTTTTTGAGGTTCATCCGTGGAGCGTGTATGAGTAGCTTGTTTCTTCGTTCAGCTGAGTAGTATTGCCCTGTGTGGATAGGGCACATTTTAGAATCACCTGGGAAGCCTTTAAAAGCCTGATGCCCGGGTCACCCCTCAGAACAATCTTGTTACATCTGATGACCTCGGCATTACGCCCTGTGGGAGCCGTGCAGGTGGTTTCAGTGAGCCCTCAATGTGCACCTAGTTCCCAGTTGGCCCAGTCAGGAATTCAGGGTGGGATATGGCGCCCTCTTGTGGCGGGTACCATTGCTGTCAGAGTAGCCCCGGTCTACGCAGGTGCGGTGACCGTGACCCAGTGAGGGTGCAGCAGGGTGGAGAAGGTGGAGGGTGGCCGTGGCCCAGCGCCGGGGCTCTGCCAGGTGGAAGCCAACGGTGGGGGCGGGTGATGAAGATTGAGGGTGCTGCCGAGTGGGTGCTTCCCGGGGCCCGGGATGGAGAGGGATGAGCAGACAGATGGCCCGTGGGCTTGGAGGAAGTGGAGCTCTGGAAGTCTCTGGGAAGTTTGAGGGAGCTGGGAGGGGGGAGACGTGGTCAGAACTGGAGGAAGGATGTCGGGATTGAGGGGCCAGGTGCTGGCTCTGTGTGAACGGCTCAAGTGGATTGGAGGTAGGTGTCACTGGAACTGGGGACGAGGAGGTGAGAGACCAGAGTGCTGCGTGACGTCCATATGGGCGTGGCAGGCACAGGATGGTGGCAGGGTTTGGGGTAGAGATGAAGGCAGTGAGCAGGGCTGCCTGGGCAACCAGCAGACAGCAGCAGGGGTATTCGGGCCTCTCCCCCCAAGTGCCAGGCCCTGTGGTCTACGGAATTACCTTCACCAAGTTATTTGTTAGGTTCCCAATTCCATGATGCGACTAGCCAGCTAAGCGCTCTTAGACGAATCAGTCTCTCCAGGCCTCAGTTTCCCCTTCTACAGGTAAGGGAGTGGGGCCAGTTGACCTCAACGACCTCTCTGAGCTCAAAGAATTTTGGTCTTTGACCCTGTTCCTGCCACTCCCAGGGGTGTGCCCATGAGAATTACTTCGCCTCTTTTGTGCCTGAATTCCTTCATCTTGAAAGTGGGGCTCATAACAACAGTACCTAACTCTTCGGGTGTTGGTGGGGA